CTCCACAGAAATTCTTTGAAGTTCTCCTCAGAACCACTCTGAAGGTCTCCACAGAAATTCTTTGAAGTGCTCCTCAGAACTACTTTAAATTTCTCCTTAGTACTAGTCTGAAGTTCTCCTCAGAACTAAGTTCTACTCAGAGCTAAGTTTTCGTCAGTACTACTATAAAGTTCTCCTAAAAACTACTCTAGATCTTCGATGAAGTTTTCAACATTTTCCTGAAATGTATGAAGTTCACTTCCGATAGTCGGGACTTCCTTAAAGATATCTTTACTCATCAGAAGTTTTTTTTTAACTTCCTAATAAATTGGAATTCTCTGGAACTGATGCAACTGATCGAAAGTGCAAGAGATGTTACGTGTTAAACAAATTCGAAGTTAGCACCGTTCAATTGCAATTTTAGCTATTCAAACGAACGGGGTTCTTCGGTTTACTAGGGCTGTCTAGTGAGTAAATCTCGATGTTAAATATCCCCCATAACCAAGGTAATGTAGTTCACTAAACAACTTTACAGAAAACATTAACCTTCTATCTTGTTGGATATTGAAATATTAAGAGTAGAAGCTATGGCATCTGACCCAGACAATTCTGTAGGTTCGTGTCGGAAGAGATGCAAAGATTGAAAATGGCATAATAAGTGCCGCCTTGACCCACAGAATGGAATAATGAACATGCTGAAGTTTTGACAGAACTGAACTGTGGCTACCACAGTATTTTACATTTGATCATCCATACACAGTAGCGCCAAAAGCATGCTGTGGCGGGTTCAAAACTTGACCATCTAAATTGATCAATTGATCATTTTAGATGGTCAAGTTTTGAACCCACCACAACCTTCTTTTGGCGCTACTGTATATGGATGATCGAATGTAAAATACTGTGGTAGCCACAGCATAGTTCTGTCAAAACCTCAGTATTTTCATTGATCCATTGTGTAGGTGTAAGCGTGTTGCTCAAAATATCCCCGGTTTATTAGTTATGATTTAGATCCTTTTTAGAGGTCTTCTATTTATGATTTAGATCCAAGCAATTTTGTATTTGGCGAAAACAAATTGGAGGGCTAAAACCTAGGATAAAACTTTTGTTCAAACTGCACAGTTTGTTTACATTTAATTTGATTCGACATTGCGATTTCCAAATGCGGGATCAGTTTGTTTAGATGCTTAAACATACAAATAGGGGTAATCATGTATACATTGTTGCTTGACTTAGGGTGGCCAGTGACTTTTCATTTTGAAATTCCTGGGTTTTTCCCGGTTTTCCCGGTTCAAATCTTAAAAATTTCCCTTACAAAAAACGAAACAAAAACATGGCCAACTGTAAATTTTCGGAGGTTATCTGTGGAGGTTGACACAGAGTTCTAAAAGTATTCTGCCGATCAACCCTAGTGTGAAAGATTCATCACAGATCTCCAACAAAATTTGTTGCAAAACAATTGCTAATAATTAGACAGAAATTCTTTAAAATACTCCAAGGGGTTTCTAAATAAAATTTGGAACGTATTATGCTGTTTTGAATAGAGTTAATAAAAAGTTTGAATAGAATTTCAAAGAAATTAAAGTTTCCGAGGTTCAAGGGAATTCTGCGACGGACTCAAATCAAATTCTTTGAAGGGGTTTCAAGGAAATTCCAACAAGAATCGTGTGAATTTTTAATTTAAAACCCTGGAAAAGAATAGTACAGTTTCAGTTTTTGCAAATATTTGTTTCTTAAGTACAGCATCTTCAATATTTTGTTTTAAGGTCCATGCACTTTACATCTGAAATAGAAACGGCAAAAATCAATTTGAAATATTGCTGAGTGATTAAATTCTAAAACCAATAAGACGGAAAATGAAAAAAAAAAAATTAAGCAGCAAATAGAGAAAGACATTTATTTGGTAAAGAATGCTTTAATAGTTTATTCTGAAATTTCGATGTAAAAATGTATTTCTATGGCATGGTTAAATTTTTTTCCAGTCTCTCAACGAATTCCCGGGTTTTTCCCGGTTACTTTTCAAATTCCCGGATAGCGGCGCCGGTGGTGTAGTGGTAAGCGTGATTACCTTTCCCCCCATCAGGCCTGGGTTCAATCCCAGTCGGCACCGCCGGGATGTTCTGAGGCATAACATCTCTGATCACGCCTTCCTTCGGAAGGGAAGTAAAGCCGTTGGTCCCCGGTTCCCTGGTGTCGATCAAGGAAAATAAAAAAAACCGGATATTTCCTGGTATTCCCGGCTCGCTGGCAACCCTGTTGATTGCAATATAAAATAAAGTGATTTCATAACATACAATTGGATGTTAAGTGATTAAGTCCGACCAACACAATTGTGCAGCGTCGTCCCGAAAGGGCTAGTCAGTTGTGGAACTTTACCTGCAGTGATCCTAATCGCTCTCTGCCTTCTCTGTCCGTGCACGTGGAAAGCTGTGGAAAGAAAATGATGATCACAGCAAGCAATGGAAATACAACTTTAAAACATAAACATTGTAAATCACACCTTTGTGCAACATTAAAGAAAACCATGCTGTCATCGGAGGAGCAATCCGTTATCCTGAAGTGGGTATTGAATTTCCGGCTATCCTGTCCCGTCAGGAAGCTCAGCCGAGATCTAGCGGATGGAGGTAGGTTCAACCTATAGTTGTGATTAGAAATCCATCAACGTTTACTATTTCAAATTCCAGTACTGGTAGCGGAAATTCTTCATCACCTTTTTCCTCGCTTGGTGGATATGCACAACTACACCAAAGGCTTCGCCATCGTCCGGAAGCTGGACAATTGGGACACGCTGAATAGGAAAGTCCTTAAAAAGTTGGAAATACACCTTACTCCGGACGTTATACACGCGGTTGCGAATGGAGTACAGGGCGCTATTTATGACGTGCTACTGGAAGTTATGATCAAAGCAGAACAGCACGGAACAGAAAATGAGGCCTTTTCGGAAAATTAAATTGAAATTAGGAAATACATATATTTGTTCTCGATTAATAACCGTTCAGGTGTTCTTCACTTTCTTGCTATTCTTCGCTTTAGGTGAAATGAGGTTTCGTTTCTGGTCTTTCGATTTGTGCTTGGTTGATTTTTCGCAAAATGCAGTTAAGATTTTGTAAATGATGTAAGTAGAGAGTACTAGAGTGCCAGCGAAAAATGCAACCACGTCCCACATCAAGTACTGCCACCAACTGAGGTCCACCGATGTAGCCTTTAAATGTTTGGCACCCTTGTGACGAATGACGTACTCGATCCAGTGCATGGCTTCCTCCATCGGGGGGACGAGATTATCCCGGAACAGTTCGGAAGCTTTCTTCCCCAGCCGAGTGTAAGTCGGGTTCGTGAGCAGCTCATTGATTCTCGATCCCAACGTGATGGCATTAACATCGGCAAAGTTCAGCGTCAACGCGTACCCAGCCCGTTCCGCCTTCAAGGCATTACGATGCTGGTCTCCGTAGAATGGAATAAACAACATCGGCACTCCTCGGAAGATTCCTTCCTGACTACCGAACATACCACCGTGGGTTATAAACAGTACGATTTTCCGATGAGCCAAAACGTCACTTTGCGGCAACCACTTTCGGATCATCACGTTCTTCGGAACATTGACCATCGATTCGTCCTCGAATTTCCACAGAACCCTTTGCTTTAAGTTTCGAAACACTTCGAAAAATGCCTTCAGTTTGTCCTTGGGCATGTCGGAACTCTTTACGTACGATCCTAGGCTGAAGAAAATGGCTCCCTCGGTGGCACCGTCCAGGAACCGTTGGATATCCACCGGGAGCGGTTTGGCTGGCTTGATATGAGCACCTGCTACGTTTACCAGGCCGGTTATCGAAGGTCGCGGTGGTGAGGTTGACATGTGACTGTTGATTAGCATTACCGAGATGGACTTTTCCAGTTCGTACACGGAGGGGAAGGATTCTGGGCCTGGAGGGTAGACATATTTTGTCAAAAAAAAAGAAGTGATGATTATATTGCAGACCTACCTTCGATGGCGGCAAAGTACTTCTTGGCCAGTTTATCCTGCCGCGGTAGATAGTAGAACTTGCGTATCACAGCATCGGTCAGCGATAGTAGAAAATTGTAGCACCTCTGACTGAATGTCATATCATCCACGTACAGCAAGATCGGATGCGGGACGAAGGACCATGGGGTCAGCAGTCCCATCGCTCGGTCCATAAAGTCCGCATGACCTAGGGTTCCTAAAATTCGAGCCAAAGCCATTATTTACTCAAACACCTCAAACCAGGGCAAACCTATAGTCACGATGGGGGCCCGGTATTTGTGGGCAAACATCAGGAACGCCTCCTGGTAGAACTGCTCCGAAATGACCAAATCAAAGTCAGTGTCATCCTGCTCGATGAACTGCTGCACGTTGACGTTTTCCAGGGCATATTGCGTCGTGGTGAGGCCCGCCTTCCAGTAGAGCATCAGATTCGACCAGTCACTGCTGTACTTGGAGTCGAATATGTCCGATATGGGAACTGAAATACAAATTTCATTGGTTCAGCTTCAGAGAACTTTAAGCATTACGCTTGAGGCTAGGCAAACTCACAGTAGTGCGGTATGTCGTAGGGTGGATCGATCAGTATCTCCGTGTAGTTGGGATTTCGGGTTTTGGAGGGAAAGTTGGTAACGGCCGTTACCTGATGGCCACGGTGCAGCATTTCTTGGACGAAGTGATCCAACCAAAGCCAGTGGCTTGGCGCAGGAAATGGAACAAGCACCAGTATCTTGGAGCAGCTCGTGAGACGACAGCCAAATGCAAGCAATGCGAGTAGTAAATATTGAATCGGTGTGAAATGCTGCCGAAATGCAAATAATTATAATAACGGAGATAAGATATGTGACACAAGGTATGGTATGTTTAGGTCGAAGAGGGTGCCGAAGAGATATAAATGGAACCGCATGTATTGAAAGAACATTGGTTGTGAATTAGGGCAGTAATATTATCGAGTGCGTTATTGGAATCAAAGCTGTAGTTTATAATTATTCTGAAATTTAAAATTTAATCTTATAATATGGTACAGTTGAAACATTTTCGCCACTCTTTATGGATTGCCATCCTATTTATACACGTATTGCAAATTAAACTTTTAACTTTGACTATCAATAAGGTTGAATTTTTGACATTTTCTGCATATGTTTCATACAACAAATGCAACAAGGCAATTCTTAGAATGGACTGCAGCGTACAAGCAAGTTTTTCAAGAATGTATATTTTTGAAAAAAAAACCTTCATGATATGATTTTCTAGACGCAATGCCTTTGGGGACACGAAAATTAAGCTAACATAAAAAGCCATTTCCCCTATGTGCTTTCATTACAAAAAGCATGATTGCTTGTTCACAATCAGTAAGCTTTAAGACGTCCACAATCGAGGTCCCTTGTCCGCTTAGTAGAACGGAAAGGAAATTAGATCAAAAAGCCTTTTGATACATTTATCGTTAGCAACCATTAATTATGTATATAGTCCAGACTTATTGAAGGAACTAATCTTCAGATCCATGGACCAACAATAAAGAAATGTTTTACATGTTTAATTAGTTGATCCAATTTTGTCACATTTTTTGTCCCGCACGGCTTAGCTTCTGGTTATTCTAGTGTAATTATGGGAGCCGAAAATCATTTCCTCATTTAAACAATCATTGAATTTTGTCCAATAACCTAAAATGGGACCAAGCTACAATAAGTTCCATTTGAAACGCAAATTCCGTAATAAAAGAAGAAGAAACAAATCAATACACTTGCTTAAACACACTGATTTCGTTATGTTTTTATAATTTCAAAAGCGAAAGTTTGCTTGACTTGATTTCATTCATGTTAAATTCACCGCTAGCTTGAGAAATTCCTGCACAAAGTTTCATCACGACCGTAGCCAAAACATGGCGTTAGAATACAGCTCGGATTGTAAACAAAATGTCTAAAATTAAGACGACCTTCTAAAAATACATTGATTTGCAACCGCAACGGGCGTGATATAAAACTTGGCACCTTCTTCACATTGACCCCATTTCCAAGCGGTGAAACCGATTTTTATTTCACTGTCATTGTCATCGCTAACACACACTTCAGCTGCAAATCTTTTTAATCTTATCACTGCCAGAAAACTTTACCCGGTCCCTTAATTACGTACCATTTTGATGAAATTTGTTCCCGATCGCACGACGCTAAACTAAATTAAGATCACCAACGCAGCCAAACCGTTGCACTCTCTTATATAACCTAAAAAAAAAAAACAGCAGCAGCTGTGTACTTTACGGTGGCGGCGTAGACAGTTTTCGCTGATTTTGCCGGATCCGTCGCTTCAGCAGGCTCACGATGCACTGCCGCCAGTGGCGATGTCATCAAATTTATGACGATTAAGTTGCACCTTATGTTGCCGCATTCAACGGACATTTCGCATTCATCACAATGTCTGCCGGTATTTGATTTGCCTGAGCTCTAGACTGGTTTAGTAGGTTGCGATAGGTCAAGAATCAAAACTTCCACGAGCCCGTCTACCTCGCGACGATCTCGATTTGATCAGTAAACAACGCTGCGTCTCCACCGGAGAGACTACTTCCAGGCACCAACGTGCTAAAATCAATCACCCGTGCAGCGTTTTCACTGGTTAGTGATGCAAATGAGTGAAAATCACGTTCGATTGTTTCCACACGTGCCGAATTTGCTTTTGAATAATCGAAGGTTGCAGAAGCTATAGCAGTATTTAAATGTCTTAATGAGATTTGTTATCACCCACAAGCGTTCACTCTTATTAGGAGGAGGGCAAAAAAAAAAAAAATAGTTTTAAGAAGTGAGATTTTGACGATGTAAATATCCGTGGTGTTCTTCGAACGACGGTTGGCACTTGACTGTGTGCGCGGTCAGAGAAAGATATTTGCGCTTGCCGAAACGAGCGATGTGGTTCTGGGATGATAGCGATCTAAATCGAAAAGGTTTGCATTCGGTAGAGAGCTGTTCATTAAGTAAATACATTGAAATGGGAGGGCATACATTTTACCAACAGATAGACTTTTGGTGAACAAGTTCATCTCAACGAACAGGCTATTCCGAATGAAAACTGTTCAAGTTATAAAATGGACATAAACTTTAAGTCCTATCTTTTTTATTGGACTACTAGCTTAACGCTTTCTTCGGCAGGTTTTAAGCTCCACTTGTTACAAACAACGTTTTAATTGACTTTCTTTTCGCTTCGAAAAGATCGATTCAAATCGGCTTGGAATCGAAACAGCAATATTCGAGCACTTTTTTTGGATCAGTAGCGCCTCTGGTGGTCAATGTAAGTACCACTATACATGCCTATCAAAATGCATTCCTATAAGGACAGTTATCTTAAGTGAGGAGCACCAAATTTTAGACTGATAAGGGAACTCGCGTCGATTCTAGTGTAAGATGACTCTGCAGAAGTAAAACCCCAATCAATAGGTCCTTTCCAAGTCAGACAGCAACCCATGCGGACGTAGCCCCAAATTGAACAAAAAAAAGAAGCGATATCGAGGAAGAGTTGCTAGCGGTTGGAGTTCATTAGTACACCGTTACAGAATTTGGAAAATTTTATTGAATAGTGTAGAATTAGATTAGGCCCAGTGTACGGAAACAAGAATTTTCGAAGTAAGTCAATCACACAGGTAATTGAAGGAAGAAAGGGTGATTGATTGGGTATTCGTCGGTTCGTTCGAATCTTATGTTCCCGATTTAAGTCGAGTATCGTCCTACTCGTAGGTTTATTGGTCGGATTTCGATTAGGTTTTTCTTTTTAAATTTGAAGGACTTGCCCTGAGTCTCGCCGGGTAAACAATCTTGCTGCTTCACATGCAAGCGATCTCGATCGTCTTGCTTGGCGCTAAAGTGAAGTAAGTTAAAGAAAAATCCAGAATCGGTTCCAACCTCATTTTGACCCGTTTCATACTTATAAGCAGCATAGTAAAAATAAGTTCATAAAAATGATACGCACCAACTAAAATAAATATGAATTTCGGAGAACAACGATTTTGCATTATTTTCGGTGTCATTTTTCGTTCCACGTTTACAACTTTGCGAAATTGACAATAATATCTCTACAGTTTTGATACTTCCTGTCACTAATTAGCTAAACTTACAGTATTAAAGTAATTTTTGATTTAATTATTGATTGATTGATATATGAATGAATGAATTTTTTTTTTTTACTTTTTTATTGATATTTCTATTAATTAATTAATTAATTAAATAATTAATTAATTAATTGATTAAATAATTTATTTATGTATCTATTAATTTATCTATTTATTTAGTTAGTTATTTATAGATCTATTAATCCATTTATTTATTTATTTTTTTATTTTATTTTTTCTTTGTTTATGTATCTATATATTTATTTTTTTATTTTCTTTTTATTTATTTATTTATTTACGAAAATTGGACAGACGTCAAGAAACAGCGAAGTTGCTGCGATCGTTTAAAATTAAAAAAAAAAATCATAGTTGAAGATGCTTAGTTTCAAATAACAGACTTAAAGCGGTCATTTTATACTATCGATGAGGAGACGAAGGTATAGAGTTGATAGTTCCGTTAGAGTTCGGCAGTGTGAAAATTGTATACAGAGAGAGTAGAAAGCGAGCAAGGACAACTTTGAGAAAGCTACGGATCGGGTTGATGAAGTTTTATTATTGCTCATATATAAACACAAAACAATGCTGGGATTTAGAGCAGTCCTGTTAATTTTCGTATCATTCAATTGAAGATGAACCAATACAACCATTCAATCAATTAAGTGAAAACAAATTCTCACATGACCATATTTTGAAGACCCTTTTTCTCATTCGAAGCTCTTCGTCACTGTAAATTGAGTCACTCACTATCATTGGATATACAACAGTGGAGTATGGAAGAAACCCAGCAAAGGTCCCGAACAGACAAGTCGACCCGATGTTGGATCAATGTAAGGCAAATTTAAGGTCGATGTTGGCCCAATGTCGTGTTGTTGTCGGGTCAATTTTGGGTTTATGAGAATGTTCCATGCCTTCGTCAAATGACTAAGCAACTGATATCGCCCATTCGAAGGAGGTCCCTTTTGATAGCGGATAGCTGTATTTCTCATTTTCATCAAAAATGTTCAATTGATTTTGAGAATTTACAGCACTGATTTAGAGGGACCGTCAGGGCACCTGATTGAAGAGATTTGGATGGGGGAGAGTGGCAATGTCAACTCCCTGTTGATAAAATTTCGTGGATAAAGGGCGGGTTCTTCTCCCCACTCATTGGGACATCTTTCTGTTTGTTGTGCGATCATGTTGCTGGAAGGAGATTCTTTTCTGTCCCCTAGAAGAATTCGTGAAAAAATAAATGGGAATAGGGGAAATGTATGTAATGTCGGCCTAAGTGTCCCTAATTTGGGCCCATACATAAATTCAGAAATCGACTAAATTTTCAATAGCAACCAAAAATATCCATTAGTACCGCGTTCATCTAGATAAAATTGATCAATAGCAGATTTTTAGCGATGGGCCCAATGTTAGATCCATAGGTCAACATTAGAGCCATTTCCCCTAGATTGCAATTTTTTCCGAGCAATCGCCGACATTTTCGTTAAGATGCATTATCGAAGAAAAATTGTTAGATTTTAATTTGATTTTACTTTTGTTACTACCGTAACATAGGTATTAGAATCGATTTCACACTTCTTGCCGTCTGTGACCGATAGCTATCCACACAAGCTATCTCATCTGTATAAAACATTCCCAATCGATAGAACTCAGCTCGATCTGGCTAGACAGTTTGATTGCGAGACCGTAGAATCAAATTGAACATGAAAAATCGACCCGGCAAGATGAAATTTTTCAGAGACATTACCCAATCTTTAACCTTCAAATACCTTGGAGTCTGGTTTGATTCAAAATGCACTTGGGGTACCCATATTACGTATTTGAAACAAAAGTGTCAACAAAGGATCAACTTTCTACGATCAATTTCCGGGACATGGTGGGGTGCTCACCCGGAAGACCTCATTAAACTATATAAAACGACTATTCTTTCAGTTTTTGAGTATGGCTCTTTTTGCTTCCAGTCGGCAAGAAAAAGCCACCTAATCAAATTGGAACGTATTCAATATCATTGTTTACGTATTGCCCTTGGCTGTATGCATTCAACACACAATATGAGCCTAGAGGTCCTAGCGGGCGTAAAACCCCTGCAGAACCGTTTCTGGGAGCTCTCATTAAGAATATTGATTAAATGTCAGTAACAACCTTGTGATTGAAAACTTCGAAGAAATGCTCGAATTGAGCATCCAGTCTAGATTCGTGCGAATCTATCTTAATTATATGTCATCGGATATTAGCCTTCCGTGCTATAACCCCCCTCGTGTACGCTTTACTAACTACAGTTCCCCCATTGAATATGATCTCTCCTTGAAACAGGCTATTCAAGGAGTTCCAGATCAACTTCGACCTATCTCAATTCCCCGCATTTTTGCTGAAAAGTACCAACAAGTCAATTGCAATAGAAGATTTTTCACTGATGGATCACGCATTGATGGATCCACTGGCTTCGGCGTCTTCAATGAATACTCAACCGCCTTTCGGAAACTTCAGGAACCTTGTTCCGTTTATGTTGCTGAGCTAGCAGCAATCAACTTCGCATTGGGGATGATTTCCGATATGCCCATAGACCATTACTTCATCTTCTCGGATAGTCTCAGTCTCGGTCGATGAAACAAGGTAGGCACTCATCTTATTTCCTTTCAAAGGTAAGGGAGCAGATGAGTTTGCTGGTCGAAAGATCATATATGATTACCTTTGTATGGGTCCCCTCACATTGCTCAATCCCAGGCAATGAGAAGGCAGACTCTCTCGCAAAGGTGGGCGCACAACAAGGCGAGATTTATGATAGAAGAATTTCACATGATGAATTTTTGAAACATCTCTATAGAATAAACCTCGTTGACAGCAATATATGTAGGTGCAGAACCGGTTATGATGACATCGATCACGCAGTTTGGTATTGCCCGGGTAATGACGCCTCCAGAGCACAACTATTGGATATCCTAGTGGCCCGAGGTAGACAACCCTTCAGAGATGTATTGGGAACACGTGATCTTCCCTACATGCAAGCGATCTACGAATTCCTTTGTTTGTCTGATGTTAGAGTTTGATGTGACTATCCCCTCCTTTCCAAACAATTTCCCGCCATTGTGTCCCAGTCTTATTATCCTCCTGTTCCTGTGCTACTTGCCCCTGCCCAGCCAGGATTTGGTCAACCGTCCGAGAGTAGTATCTGAAGGAGGCTTCAGAAACCAGTTTCCTACCTAGATCCTTCCAATTGAAATTGTTACCTATTAACCTCGAGCCCGCCACGAGTAATTGGTACCCAATACTAACATAGAAATACTGCTATTTAAAATATAAATCAAACATTACTGATTTTGGCTCCGCAAAGTGTCACACACGACTGAGCCTAGTAAATAAACGAACTAGTAAAAAAAAAAAAAGATGAAATTTACTGATGTCTGTATGTACGTCTGTGGACGCGTTTCATCTAGGCAAGCTTTTTTTTTTCGAGATGGCTTATCCGATCAATATGGTTGATATCTCGTTTGAAAAGCCCCATTGCGCCATTGATCGCTATTGAATTTTTTTTCTCGATCTGACTTCCGGTTCTGGAGATATATAGGGCAGTAAGGTTTTAGTTAATGATTATTTTTTTTTATATCAACGGTAAACATCATCAATATGATTTTTTTCATTGTAGAAAGACCTCATCCACATCTAATTGTGAAAAAAATTTCATACCGATCTGACTTCCGGTTCCGGAAATTTACAGGGTATAATGATTTTAGTTAA